CAAATCACTGAGAGCCATCCATGGCGTGTGGTACACGTCAGGTGTTATTACCAGAAGAGATGACACAATATTTGCCAAATTGCCTCTTGACAAACGTCACCACCACCAGGACTGCCTGCCATGTTCTCTCCCCTAGGCACCCATCCATGCTAGCAAGGAAATGACAAACTCATTAACTAAACTAACAACTAGGATGGTGGCACTGGAAAGTCCTTAGGACATCCCAGATCCCGCCTTTTACAAGTGAGGACACTGAAGCCCAGAGACATTGCCCAGCTTGAACTGAATCTCACATAGATCAATTAGGGGGTGACGCTGGTATTAGACCTTGACTCTCCACATTCCTAGTCCAGGCCCCCAGCTGGAAAAACCTGCAAACTGGAAGATCTCGCCCATGCTCTTGGCTGGCTCACATTTGACACCTCTATGGAAAGCATCTCAGTCTCCTCCTACTTGGTGGGGGTTGGAGATGGGGGGCACCACGATGTAAATTGTCTATTTTTAGCCTCTATATATGGCCTGCTCCCTGCAGACTCACTGGGCTAACAGACTGCTGTGGGATTTAAAGCACTCTCCATATTGCTTGGTGGTTGTCATGCCAACAAAATTTAACAGAAATTGTGTTTTCTCATAGATTATTTTAGTGGAGGCTTTAAAGCCAGATTACAGCTCCAACTCGGAAGCTTAAATGATGCAAGTGATTAGTACTGGTATATAGTAGGTGCACCATAATATTGAAAAACAGAATGAATGCATGAATGAATTAGTTGCATTAGGGAGCTGAAGATGTTTTAGCAGAGAACTGATCTGCTACTTAAAGTCAATATTTAAAGTCAGTCCAGAGCGACTTTACTCATATCCTCCCTGGATTTTCATAATTACCTGACACTCTGTGTGTGAAATGATTTGTCTGATTCCAAAAGACAGCCTCTGATGTTCAGCTCTGCACCCCAGGGGCCTCTGCCTGCACACAGCTGCTGGTTGCAGACATGGAAAAAGTAGCCCCTTGCAGACCTTTGGGGGCAGGAAGCTTATTCACATCTGAGAGGGTGGGTGCTCAGTCCTAAGGAAGCTTTTAGGCAAATGTAATCACCATATTTAATGAATGCATTTATTTAAATAGCCTCTCTGTTTCAAGAACCCTGTTTGAAAGGACATTCTCTGGCCACAATTAGTGAATGTTATCAGGTAAGCAGAGGGTCAGGGGAGCTCATAAATCTCCCTTCAGTTCCTAGGTCTTTCAGCAAGTATTTTCTGAAAACCTCATCTGACGAGTTCTTTCCCTTCTCAATAAAATTTATTTTCTCCATTAATCCTTTCTCCCTCCCCCCCCTTCTTCCCTTCCTCTCTCTGTCCTTGTCTTCCTCCCTTTCTGCCTGTTCTTCCATTCTGCTTTCCATTCTCTTTTCCTCTCCTCCTCACTCCTTCCTTCCCATAGCAGTGAAAAGAACACAGTCCTTTGGAGTCAAAATTAGATTTAAATCCTTACTATTTATTGCTGATGCTTATTTGTGGTGTGGCGTTCAACAACTTTCCTTACATCTCCAGCAGCATTTCTTCTTGTGCACAAGGGGCTATCAATGCCTGTCTTGGATGGTTCATGGGAACAATGGATGAAGTGTTTTTCAAACTTTAGCGGGCATGAGTCACCTAAGGAGATAGGTGAAAATGCAGATTCTCAGGACCCATACCCACAGACTCTAATCCATTAGGTTAAAGTCCATTTTAAAAGGTTCCCAAACTTCAAGGGTCCTACTTTGAGAAACACTGCATATGCTTGTAAATGCTTAGTAGAATGAGATTTGTTGTAAATATTCAAAAGGTGGGAGCTATGATCATTATTCATTCAGTAAACGTTTACTGAACATCTACTATGTACCAGGCATGACACCAGGCTCTGTAGCTACATCCTGTTTAATTTCTTTTACTATGAATTTAATTTGTCCTATCTGTATGCCTTGTCAAGTCCCACTAGTAAGTTCCTAGAGGTCAGGATAAAGCAGCATAATGTGGCAGAGAAGAGCATAAATGTTAGAAGACACAAATAATTCTAATCCAGATTCTGTTATTTACTATTTACTTGACTTTAGACAAGTCACTTTATCTTTCAGAATTTTATTTTCTTCATCAAAAACAATGAGTGTAGTGGCCTGACTGATGCTTTCTAAGTGTGTGATCGCAGGAAAGTAACAACTTCTTTGAGCCTCTGCTTCCTCTTACATAGGAAGGGGATTCCTTTGTTCAACGTCCATTCCTTCAATAAACATTTATTTAGCACTTTATGTGACCAGCGCTGTGCTAGGTGCTGAAAATACATTGGAGAGTAAGACAGACAGGGTCCCTAACTCATGTAGCTTACAACTTAATAGTGGACACAAATATTAAATGGGTAATTGCACAATCAACCAATTCCACTGTGATAAATTCTGTTGTGATAAATTGACTAGCAGGAGCTAACCTAGTCTGGGAGTGTCAGGGAAGACCTCCTGGGACAGGGGATATTGAGCCCCGAGGGATGACTAGGCATTACCAGGAATAGAGGGACCTGAGATGGGAAGAAGCAGGACTTTTTTGAAGAAATAAAGGGACACCCATGTGGCTAAAGCCGAGTACACAAGGTCCCCCTCACACCTCACAGGTGTTGAAAGAACTAAATGAGACAATAAAGTGCTTAACACAGTGCTCAGCACAGAGAAACATAATAATCGTGGAGATAACATGCCGTCTGGTTTGTTGTAGACAATGTATGAAGAAGTACTGTCCAGGGGTGTGGAACCACTTTTCTGCTAAGGGCCATTTGGACACTTATAACATCATTCGGGGACCACACAAAATTGTCATCTTAAAAATGAGCCTGCTATATTTGGTCAGGCTCATTTGGTGAGGCGTGTGATGTTAGCTAGTATTTATTTCTTGGGCCTTATAGGGCCCACAGACCAGATGTTCCCTACTCCTGAAAGGTTTTCAAATTGGCATTCATCATAATCACCTGGAGGGCTTTTTAAACCAGACTGCTGGGTCCCACCTCCAGAATTTCTGCTTCAGTAGATAATGTGCATTTCTATTTTAACAAATTGCCAGGTTATGCTCAAGCTGCTGGTGTGTGTGTGTGGGTGGAGGTGGGTGGGGAGGAGAGGGAGGTGATTTGGGATTTGAGAACAACTAGTATAAATTGTAAGATCCTAAATGCCTGTCAAAGTTGACTCTCCCGCCTTGCTCAGATCTAGACCCTCCATAGAACAACCTCTCCATAATTATTTAATAATATGTACTCTTTACATTTTTAGAGTGAGAAAAGACCTTCAAAATCCACATCTTTTTATTTACACCAGAGAGGAACTCAAGGACCAGAGAAAGGTGAGGATACTCCCTAAGAAATGGGAGCAGCCTTAACCCAAGAGTTTTTCCTATCGGGAGCATGCTTTTGGTGCATTGCCGGCAGGCAGATGCACAGAGCCCGAGAGTGGCTTTGCAGGTATCCTCCCTGCATGGGCTACATGACCAAGATGGCCTGGCCCTCCACTACATGAATATTGCACGTGCAAAATTTTCTTACTGAATATGTTGCTTTTTGGAATACTGTAAACATATTTTTGAGAGTTATGAGATAAATTCAATGAAATATACTCTTCTCAAAGAGAATATACCCCAGCACAATTGTCTACCACGCTGAAACGGGTACATGTCAGCTCCCCTTGTCTTGTCTGTTTTTTCTTTTTTTAAATTCTCACCCAAGGATATTTTTGCATTTATCTTCAGATGGAGATGGAGGGAGAAAGGGAAGAAGAGAGAGAATCATCGATGTGAGAGAGACATATTGAGTGGCTGCCACCCATACAACCCCAACTGGGGCAGGGGACAAACTGCAAGCGAGGTACGTGCCCTTAGCGGAACCAGACAAGGGAGTCCCTGGTCCGTGGGCTGACGCTCTAACTGCTGAGCCAAACTGGCCAGGGCTTCTGTTTTTTCTTATGTGTGTAGGCCCCACTCTTGTGGTAATAATATTAACAATACAAACGGAAATGAAGATGATCAAATGAGGTGAGGAGCTTAAAGCACTCTCTGGGCCAGAGAGTGCTTTTAGCTCCTCACCTCATTTGATCCTCACCACCCCAGTTGGCTCCGATTATCCCATTTCATAGGTGAGGAATCCAAGCCACCGAAAACTCTGGTAATTTGATGCAGGTCCTAGAGACAGGATTTGACTCCAGAACTAGGATTTAATCAGGTTGACTCCAGAACTTGGGCTCTTAATTACAATGATGTGATGATTAATTTGTCAAAAACTAAAAATCAGTGTTGAAATGTAATAGTAAGCTCTGAGATCAGAAATGCCCTGAGAAATCAAGAAGATGCATTAAATAACTGTCTACAGATGAACAACCCATCCTTTTGACAAGAAAACCCAACAATAACTTTAATACGTATTTCATATTTCAAGAGTTAGACTAGGAATACTCCAAAACAGATTAAAAATAAAACAAGCAAAAAAGCTGAGTCACTGGGGTCCCTCAGAAGGGAAGAAACTTCTCTTTGGGATGATAAATCAGCTTCTGAGGAAGGAGGGGGCGTGTGCCTTAGAGATAGGGGTGCGGCTGGGGGTCTTGTTGCTTTATGCACAACCCCATATACTTTCCTAGATTTGGTTCTGCCGGTTAAATTAGGACCAGGACACTTGGCTAGAAAAGCTAGGGCGGACTCTCCAGGTTAGTTACTTTGGGACATCATCTCCCTGTTGCTTAGGATGAAGTGGTCCTGTGGACCCTCCTGCCATGCTTCATCCTCATCCACCCTCTCCGCTCCCCAGTAACTCCAAAGTGCAAAAAAGCTTGCCATGGCCTGTAGAAAGCGCAGAGCCTCGGAGGCTGGCACGCTTTTCTTCTTCCCTCCCCCGGAGAATGATCTCAGCACCTCTCCCAGCATGTCAGTGGAATACTGGGTCCGAGCCCGCTCCGCGGCTGGGGGAGGGGAGACGGTGCTCCCGACAGCTGGGCGGTGCGGGCGCTCAGGACCCCCGGGGCGTCCGCTCTCGGGCCGCGCGAGGTCCCCGGCAGCCGCGCGCGCCGCCCCCGCGGCCCGCGCCACGCTCCGCCCTGGACGCCGCTCGTCCCGGCGCCGGGGTGCGCGCGGTGGGAGCGGGCCGGGCTCAGTCTGATTTACGGCTCTGCTGAAAACCGCTCCGCTCCGCAGCAGTAGCACCGGCCGCGGCGGCAGCAGCAGCGGCGGCTGCAGCTGCAACAAGTCTGGTAAGTGGCGGCTGCGGGCCATCTGCGCCTGCGGCCCGGCCCAGGGGGCGCGGCGGAGGGGGCCGGCCGCGGCCGGAAAGGAGGTCCTGTCTCCGCAACGTGGCGGGGAGTTGGGCTTCTCGACCCACCTGCAGGAACTCGTGTGCGCATGTATCCACTTTGGCACACGGGGGCTCGCATGGTGCGAGGCGGGGGCGGGGAGAACCGGGACCCCGGAGGCAGGGTGCTTTCCTGCCCTGCTCAGGCAGAGGGAATTAGGGCTTTTCTGCTATCCCTGCGGACTGGAGTTTCTGCTGGGCCCTTGAAAGCTTGCATACTACCGGAGTGCGCGATTACCCGGTTCCCTTTGCAGAATGACACCCCTTTCCCATTGCCCCCTAGAATCCCGACTTCCCCTTCCTTCACCTCTCGCCTGCATTTTTGACCAGGGATTGCATCCCATCCCAGAAAACCGATGGTTAAACAGCCAGTGTAGCACAGGAAGACATTCCCTCCTTGGGGGGAGGGCAGGGGGGGGGGGCTTGTTAACCTGGAAGATTTGCCTAGCTGCCTGGGGAACATTTGCACCTCTGCTTTTGAATAGGTTGAGGCCCAATAATAGGACTTTTCAGCTTAGACCTTTAGCTGAGCTCCCTCTTTTTGGGGCCCGATGCTCCGTACGTTTAAGGAGAAATCATTCCTGGAGGAAATAGATATTATGCTGCTTGCAGAATTGGGTTGCTAGCAGTCATCTGTTGCTAGGGCTAAGATAAGAAATTCCTACAAGGAAATAAGAACTTCCTGTTATTAAAAGAGTTATGCTGATACCTACCTGGTTCAAACATTGGCCATCTTTAGAGGTTGTCTTTAATGTCTGGAGATAGATCCTTAAAATAGGATCAGAGCCCTGGCCGGTTTGGCTCAGCGGTTAGAGTGTTGACCTGCGGTCCAGAGAGACCTGGGTTCAGGTCCCACTAAGGGCATGTACTTGTCTACAGTTTGTCCCCAGCCCTGGTTGGGTCGTGTGGGTGGCAACCACTGGGTGTGTCCCTTTCACATCCATGTTTCTCTGTCTCTTCCACTCTATCTGAACAAAAAATGGAAATATGTTCTCTGGTGTGGATAAAAAAAAAAAGGATCAGAGACAAGACAAATCCATCCAGAACACCCTATTTAATAAAGCCTTGTCCATGGTCCCACTTAGATCAAATAATATTTGACACATTGGGTTCCCATATTTTAGTAAATCGAGTATGGAGGGCCATTGTTCTTATGATAACACTTTGATTTCTGTCATCACGGCGATAATTAAAGGACAAAATTAAGGGCAAAAAAAAAAAATCTCAGGTTAAACAATTTTCAGCTGATTGTGTGCTTAATGCCGCAGGACCTAGTTTGAGTAATATCTTTTCTATTCTTGAGGAAAGGTCTCTAAGCTTGCTCTCTTGGGACCTGTTTTGACAATTCATGCTGACTTTTCCTCATTTTTTTTGTATTTATGCTTATCAAGTTGTTAGTAAAATAGGGCACGGTTTTGCAGTTCATGTACTGAATTTGGGAACACAGGAAACTTGAATCTGCTTCCGGATGCCACTTTCCATTTGGCCCTGAGTTCATCACTTTACCTCCTTGCCCTAGTTTTCCCATCTGTAAAAAGGGATGCCACCTACCCTTTTTATCCCAGCCAGGGGTTGGCCAACTTTTTCTGTAAAGTCCAAGTAGTAAGTCTTTTGGCTTTGCAGGCCATAGCGTCAGTTTAGTGCAAAAGCAGCAGTAGACAAGACAGAAGTAAGTGGGTGTCGTTGGCTTTGGCCCAAGGATTGTAGGTTTTACTTTTATAAGATGTTATATGCAGACTTCATTTGAAACCAAAGAACCTTTGCCCTCCTGGAGATGAGCAGCAGCAGTCATTTCAGCAGCATTCTTTCAAACACATCTAGACTACCTGCTTTATTTCCCCTGCCCAGGACTTTCAGAGTAATGCAACAGAAGGCCTTTGAAGAAAGCAGATACCCCTGGCAGGAGTCCTTTGAGAATGTTGCCGTGTGCCTGCCATTCCGCTGCCCGAGGTGCGGAGACCACACCAGATTTAGAAGCCTGTCGTCCTTGAGGGCCCATCTAGAATTCAGTCACAGCTACCAGGAGAGAACCCTCTTGACAAAATGCAGCCTCTTTCCATCCCTCAAAGACATAGACCTCGTCACTTCCTCAGAACCCCTGAAACAGGGAAAATTGCAGAGCTGTGGCAACGTGGTGAAGCAGAAACCCAGCTATGTTAACTTGTATAGCATTTCACACGAACACTCCAAGGACAGGAAGCCATTCGAGGTGGTGGCAGAGAGACCTGTGTCGTACGTGCAGACCTACACGGCGGTGGACCTACGAGCCGACTCGCTGGATGGGCTGCGGTCCAGTCCCGGACTCCCCACCTCGGACACCAAAGCTGCTTTCGAGGCTCATGTCAGAGAAAAATTCAATCAGATGGTCGAGGCCGTGGACAGGACCATCGAGAAGAGAATTGATAAACTCACCAAAGAGTTGGCCCAGAAAACTGCAGAACTGTTGGAAGTCCGGGCAGCCTTTGTCCAGCTGACTCAGAAAAAGCAGGAGGTGCAGAGACGAGAGCGGGCCCTGAACAGACAGGTGGACGTGGCCGTGGAGATGATCGCGGGGCTGAGGCAACGCCTGACAGACTCAGAGGAGGAGCTTCTCAGGAAAGAAGAGTAAGTGGCTCTGGGACGGATGCTAACCCTTGGCTTTGGCACCTGCACCCGAGTTACCATCCAGGGTTAAGCAAGGTTCGGCTTTTATTACTTACAGGTGGTACCTTGGCTGCATTTCTCATTGATGTAATTGCATGTGGGAGGCACAGGGCTTTTAATAGTATTTATCCTCTCTGTGTATGGTCTGCAACCCAGCAACCTGTAAGTCAAAATACCTGATTTTTTCTCACTTTTCTCACCTTGGAAATTGTAACGTACAGATAATGTTTTTAAAGAGAGGAGTCGTGCCTTGTTTCTGTGGTGGGTGCCATCCCCAGCACGCACTGGTGAGCCAGGGAGTTGAAGGGGAGAGCAGAAAGGATGGGCTGGGGAGTCTTCCTTCTTGACAGTCTCCACGTAATCAAATCAAGAACATGAGATGCTGTCTGATTCAAGTATAAAGAATGCTCTAAATACAAATAAGTTTGGCTTCTTTGCCATTTTGGATGATCCGCCCACTGTAATTAAATGTCGGTTGCTGAGAATCCATTCAATTACAATTTTTATTTGGAAGAAGCAGACATTAGGAAGCCCAGAGGAAACTTTGTGATATTGCTGTGCTTCTGTGATTTAAGTTGGAGAGTTTTCTTTTTGTAAAATGTTATGTAAGACTAAAGTGAGTTATGCCTGCTTGCAGAGAATTGACACTGGTTTTCACAAGTTATAGGTGATCAGATAAACTAATACTTTAAAAGAATTGTACTTGGAAAACATTTTCTTATTAGTAATTATGGTTTAAGTCCAAACTAAAAAAGTCTACACGACAATGTAGTATAGTTCCCAAAAGCAGAATGTTGGATTTAATTTTAAATGGAGGGTCAGAATTCACAGAATGAAAAGACATAAAAATTGGTCAATTAAACTGTCCTAGAAGGAAGGTTTCCGAGTAATTTGAGTTCTGTTAGAGAGATTGACTTGATTTCATACTTTCTCTGCCCTGTGGTACTCTTCACGTGTTGTCTCTTAAAATGTAGTAATTAAAACTTCCTCCATTTGGTAAGAGGCTGAGAAACCTCGCATATTAAAGAGATCATCATTCACTATCACATTTAAATGCTTACATTCTACCTAGAGGGAAAGCCAGTTCGCTCAACTAGACATATTTTTCCAAATACATCAGGAGGACGGAATGGAATCAGCTGATTTACTTTGATCTTAGATAAATGATAGCTAATGAAAAATGTTTTTCTCTTGGCTTCTGGCATTTCCTGGTGGAAAGTTAGTGCCTTGACCAGTTTTGGCCACTAGGGTGCCTAACATTGCACCCCTGGAAAAATGGCAGATGGGGTTCCCCTGCGTGCAGAGGAAAGCTTAGGATGAACTTTTGGGTATTTCTGTTTGAGTCAAGAGCAGTGGATTTAAAAGGTAAGCAGATTACTATTTTGCATTTATTTATTTGTTGTATTTTATTTATTACATCTATAAGGAATAATGGATATGGGATTTGGGGTGGTGGTTCCCTAGAGTTTAGGAAGGCAATATGATGGCAGGGAGGGTCATCTAGTTAGAGCTAGATTATGGTCAAGGATCTGACTTTTATTTTGGGTGGTGTGTTCAAGGAGGCTTTATTATTAAAAAGAACTGGTTAACTAACTTGAGTAAAAGTGGGCCATGCATGGATCAATAATGATAAAGTGGTATGGTTAATCCAGTGCTGTCACCTGAGGACCAGTTGAAAAACTAATGCATACTTTGTAAAAAAATTAACATGGTAGAATTGTATGTGTTAAAAGTCCTCCCTCCTCTCCGAGGATACCCCATCCCATCCTCTGGAGACAGCTGTTTAGTTCCGTGAATGCCCTTCTAGACCAGTGGTTCTCAACCTGTGGGTCTTGACCCCTTTGGGGGTCGAATGACCCTTTCACAGGGGTCGCCTAAGACCATGGGAAAACACATTATTTCCGATGGTCTTAGGAACTGAGACACGGCTCCTCTGTCCGTCTCCAGGCGGGTCCACCCACATGCAGATACACCCACATACAACATGAGGAACTGTATTAAAGGGTCGCGGCATTAGGAAGGTTGAGAACCACTGTTATAGACCTTTCTTGTGTGCATATAGTCATAGGTACTTTATACACACAGAGTTACTGTATTTTTCTCAGTGGATTCATGACATGTATTATTCTGCCACTTGTGTGTGGAGTTTGTTTTTGTTTTAACATAGTATGTTCTAGGCATCTTTCATGCACTAAACAGAATTATGTCATTTCTCTTGGCCACTGGGTGGTATTCCATGGTGTGGATGCATCATGGCTGGTTTAATCAGCTTGCTATTGATGAATGCATGGTTTTGTTCCATTTTCCCGCTATTAAAAATAGCCTCTCTGTTAACGTCCTTATACATACATCTTTATTCACGTTTTTGTGAGTATATCTGAGGGTAAATTATTAGTGTGACATTTTTTGGACTGCCAGGAAAAAAATAAAAGTAATGCAGTTAAAAAACCCACTTTAAGTGAAAATACAGTGAAACTGCCTTAAACTTATAAATATAAAATAAACAATGTCTTCATTTCTTTAAACCTTCATTTGGCCTGTTCCATCAATTTCTGTATTCAAGCCTCAAATAATCCTTCTTCTGTACATGAAATAGGACTGAAAGAGTCTTGTTCCCAGGAAGGACAGTGAGCTCTTGGTTTGAGAGCGTGACTGTGGCCCTTGCCCTCAGTATCTACGGTGTCCAGCCTCCCTGCCACCCCCACAACCCTCTGAAATGGGGGTGCAGCGCAAGCCAGCTGCCCATCTCCATACCAGTGACACTGCATTGATTTGACTAGATCTGCCAGGCTGGGCCATGTCCCTCCCCTCCTCACCACTTCCTCACAGCGCTGTGCCTTCCACCGGAGAGGTCACCTTTCAGATGTGGGAAGCTGCTGTTTGGCCAAGGAACCCACCAGGAGCAGTGACCTCTAACAGCCCATTTGTGAGAGAGAGTCAGCTGTTATAGGACCATTTGAAATGGACTTAAACTCCAGGACCCTTTGAGACACAGCTGGTAGATTTGGTTTAAAAAGAGCAAACATCTAGTATTTAATATTCACATGAGTTTCTCTTGCCTGTGGATTTTCCCCTCCACTTTAAAATTCTTTCTTTCAAACTGAAATAAATGACTCTGAGGGCCAGTTCTGCCCCGAAGCCATCTACAGACGGAATCACCTCGGATCGTGCCAGGCACATATATGCTTTGGAACAGAGGAGATTGTTTGGATTGGCACGATTTTGTACATCTCTGCTGGTGAGTCTCATTGTACCTTTGTAGAGAGGTATCTATATGTTTCTGGAGAGCAAATCCAAAAAAGAAATTTCTTATTGTCTTCACAAAGTGTGTAATTTTAAAGTCCTGTGGACACAGGTATTTACTAATTCAGGAGTATTCAGGGCTGCAGGGTAGCCTGCCCACAATCAGGTAAATCAATCCTGACCAGCCTTGCAGTGAGGTATCCTTTAACAAGAAGGGATGTCTGTGGGTGGTAGCTGATTGCTGGCCCAGTTGGTCACCTGGAGTTTGGAGAACATCAGTGTAATAACAATAATCCTAAATTTACTCACACACTCTTCTGCTGGTGAGGTCGGAAAGACCGGCCTGAGCACTTGCGATGTGCCCAGCACTGTGCTCGGTGTGTGGGGGAACATACACTTCTTGGCATTTTTCCCTATGGAGCTTACACTCTGCATAGGAAGAATCGGTATACCCATGAACACGCCCATGTTCAAACCCAGGGCATTGAACAAGTGCTGACATACAAGCCACGGTTTCAAGTTGATAAAAAGTTAAGAGAGCCGATTTTTCTATTTAAGAGGCCGCGCTGAGGGAATGAGGACAAAGGGCAGAATTTGCATTGGTCGCCAGAGGATAGTGACATTGAAGGACAGCAGGAAGGTCAGAGATGACCCGTGATGGGACTGTGTAACTTTGGTGCTGGAAGGTACCCTCTGTCTCCTTCAGGATAACACCCTTATTTTACAGATGTGCAAAGTAAGGCCCAGAGGAGTGGAGTGACACATCCAAGGACGAAAATCTAGTATCAAAACTAAGACTGCAACCCAACTCCCTGTCTCCTTGCTGAATGCTTTTCTGTCAATTCACTGTATCTCAGCCAGACTTTTGAAAATGTGATATTTGCCCAAAGCATCAAGACTTAAGTAATACAGAATCCGGCCCATTTTGAAACGGGCTTGTTTCTTTGCTATTTTGAGAGGGCTGCCAGGGTGACATCATTTATTTTTCTGATGTGATTAAAGCAAATGTCAGCTGGCATCGTAGGTGTTGGGAAATGGGGAAATGGTGGCGTCATTAAGTATGGTTATGATATTAAGCTTCCAGAAAACACCAGCCCAGGGCTTTTAACTTCCAACAAGGGCTTTTTAACTTGATGCTCTGCACATCCAAGCCCGGTCTGGGAGGAGCACCTGCCACCAGCCTTTGATTGCAGTGAGGAGCCTCTTTGTAATTCCATCTGGAATTTCCATCCTGCTCCCTTATGAGCTAGGATATAATCTTTTCCCTTCTTCCTTCATCATTTTCCCTGTTCCCCAGATTGGAGTCGGCAGAAGACATCTTTATTGAGAGTGTGCTGACTGCGAGGTAGTGTTCTAGGATCTGGTCAAGCTAGTGGTAAACCAGATGAACCCTGCTTTCCTGGCAGGGATAGACCGAAAGATAAACTAGACATTGAACAGATCATCAGGGGTATGATAAAAGAGATGTTTAGGGGTAGCCTGACCCAGGTAATGTCCATTTGGGTTTCTGTTCAACGCTGGCTGAGGAGCACTGGCCTTTAAAAGGCAACTCGGACGTGGTAACTTGCTTTGCACAACCAAACCCTTTTGCCACTTAATTACTTTCCCATTTTTGATGAGCCAAAGCAGTGAGTAAGCAACTTGGTCTCCAGACTGATCCAGAGCTAGGAAGCAGGCCAAGAAAAATCATGTCAGATGTAGAGTTCAGTGGGAGAGGA